TACCACAAGCCGAGCAGCATCGCTTAGATTCTTTTTTTTCGTGGTCTTTCTCTAAAGCCAAAATCATAGGATCACTTGGTAACATATCACACTCTTTTTTGATTTTTCCTTTTTTGTTTTTTTCCCATTCCAGATGATTAGACAGTGTGAAAACCAAATCCACATGCAACACCACATTCCATTTCCTTTCCCAACAATAAAACAACATCAATTGTAACATTGTATTGTAATTTAAAGTTCCATTCATTGGCCATTTTTCACCATCATCCAAAAGAGTACAAAGGCCACCAATTATTACAATATTCAATTCACACTGTTTCCTGGAGAGATTGCACCTTCCATCTCCCTCCAATGCTTCAAAATACAGCCTAGGGGGATTTCTCCAAAACTCACTTTTGGTGATAGACCAGAACCCATCACACAGAATATAATAAACCAATTAAACTTCCCTTTGAGAGGGGTGTGCAACACCCACTCACACACCTTAGAGCTTGAAACACAGGGCACCTGTGTAAGCTTGCCTACAAAATAGCCCTCAGGGCTTTCAGTCTGTGGCAGTGGGGCTTTGACCCACAAGGTACCTTCCTTTTTACTGTTTTCACTATTTACAATTTTTAACCTTCCCCAGGGCTGGCACTCAAGGCCTCCCTGTAGATAGCAGAGCAAGCCCAAAACCTGGTTTCCAAACTCCCTTTACCTTAATCCAGTGAGACTTTCCAACAGCTCTGTTATACCCCCCCTCCAGTAATGCCTTAATAAGTCCCAGCAGAACTTGAACTCACCGGATCCTGGGACCAAGAGGATGTTCCTCAATAAAATCTTTGGTGTGCTCTGGAGTCCTCAGTATCCTGGAATCCATGCAGTGTGAACAGCACTGTCCCATCTGGGTCACCAGGAACCATCACCACAAATGGGGAATAAAACCCTCTAACACTCTTTGTAGCATTAGGAAGTGGCAACAATTTATTTTTGGTGCTGGGCGTGCAGGGGATATCTCCTCCTGTCACACACCCAGCTATGTAACATACTGATTTAGATCTCTGTAACTAATATATATTCATGACATTTCCCCAGATCATACATATATCCTAAACATTCTTACCAATTCTTTTACATATTTAAATTACTTCTCAAAACTCATTTACATTAGAGGAGGGGTCTCTTGAGGGTCTCCATGGTCTTTTGGGGAACATCCCATTCAGAAAGTTATTCTTTTTTGGTCACAGGCCTCCAAAAAAAGTCTCTTCTCCTTGAATGCACCCTAGCTGTGTGGTCTGGCCAAGACAGACCTTCTTATCAGTGTTGCTCAGGCCCACAGTCGTTGATCTCAGGGCAAGGATATCCACTTGCACACATTAATCACTGGTATGGGTGATTACAGGACTAAGCACTGTCTGTTAAAGCTAAAGGAATTCACAACACTCAAAAATTATGTGTTACAATTAAAGATTTTCCCAACATCACTGCAAACATCTAATACCTGTTGTTACAAGAGAGATACATTTATTATCAATACTGCAGGTATTTAAGATTTGCAATTAGAAAACTTGAGAAATCAGTCAACTGCTGAATTTTTACTTTTGATTCCTGAGTGTTCTAGAAGGGCCACGTTCAGATAGGACTGGTGCCTTTCTTGTTAACAAAGGATCCAAAGAAACTAAGAGTAATCAATCCTCTTAGCCTCATTGGCGTTGTAGACTTCCCCTTTAGTTTGCAGCTGACCACGCATCATAAACAAATTTTGCTGCCACTGCATCTTCAATTGCCAGCCCTGAAAAAGAATTAAAGGCACCTTCAAACAGTTCTTCAGCTGTACCAACAATTTAGCTTCAGAAGGCAACAGAAGGACTCAGGAAATTATCTAAGTGGGCAGGAACAGCAATTGTTCCCCATCCCAAACACCTACAGTGTTACATTCAAAGCCTATGGCCATCATGGAACTCTTGGGTGTGCCCTATGACATTCATGGAACAGTAACAATCTCATTTTCCATGCTCACATCACCACTTGGCCCTTTCAGAGATGTCATCCAGCTCAGAGCATGGCAATTCATCCCCACTCCTGCTCTCTCCCCAGACACCAGCCCCACAACCCCCTGGCACATTGTCTGTGGGTCAGACAGACCCCATGGGTGCAGCAGCAGGGCACTGGGGCTGGAGCTGGATTCAGAAATGCTGCACTCATGTCTTGAACCACTGGGAAATGGAAAATGGACTTCCTATTGTTTGCTTGCTTTCCTATCACTTTTCATTACATCAATCCTGCCAGACAAACAAATAGGGAAATCAAAAGGGAAAATGCAAATCACATCCCACTTCCTTGTGCACAGTGCGTGGCCATGGCAGCTCTGAAGATGATCAGCAGCTTTCCCACGCACGGGGGACCCAAGAAATAACAAGGCATTGTTTCCTGTCACACTTGGACACATGAGGGGCTCTTCTTACCCAATGATTTAAACACTGTTGTTTTCTCAGGCAGGGCTGGTTTTGCACCATTCAATACCTCTCCGAGCTCAGCAAAAATCTCTGCCTGTCAAAAAAATACATATTTATTCAAAACCATAATACCCATACATGCATTAAGAGAAAAACCCTTTTTTTCCCTGAGTGACTTCAGAATAAAGAAATCATCCAGCTCTGCATGCCAAAACTGATTCTTTTCCATGGTGAAGCAGATCAGTATTCAGACAAATAATATAGAAACTGGACAGAAATCAGAGAAGCAGAATGGTTTCCAAAGAAAAACAGCTGGCACACTTTCCTCAGTAAGTTTTTTTGCTTGTCTTTGTTTTGTTTACAGTAGATAGCTTGTTACTTATGCAACAAAACACATGGGATCCCACACATATTACCATATCTGGAGCTCTGATGTTAAACCTCAGAGGTGTAAATCACATTTGCTCTGCAGAGACATTAGAAGAGAAAAAGAAAACACCATTGAACCTAAAAGAGTCCCTGCTGTCAAATTTGTGCAGATCACTGTCTGCTCAGCTTGTGTGGTCCATTCCCCAGAGGCCTGATGTGTCAATCACACTGAAATCTTATGGGAAGAAAGTTACAGATTTTAATCAACAAATTTGAAGAATCAAGACAAACAAACACTGCAGGAAATGCAGGTCTTTCAAAAAACAATACATTGTTATCATACCCAAAGGCCAAGGCTGAGCACCTGCTACTGTAATATGGTGTCATGCAACAGTAGATACA